TCGTTTGAAACATTTGCAAGAGTTTCACGGATTGAGCGCCACCCGTTTTCAAAATGTGGCTCTCGCTTTAGCGCCGCGTACATTCGTTTGAAACATTTGCAAGAGTTCCACGGGTTGAGGGCGGGTCGTCTTCAAAATGTGGCTAGCGCCGCGCACATTCGTTTTACAAATTTGCAAGAGTTTCACGGGTTGATGGCGGTTCCTTTTCAAAATGTGGCCCTCGCCTTAGCGCTGCGCATATTCGTTTTAAACACTTGCAGGATTGTCACGGGCTTCCATCATCAACCTACCAGAAATTGTGTTTTGGAAGGATTCAGGATTATGAGGCAGTTACGTTGATTCGCGGTGTTGGAGTCCGAATGGCGTTCTGGCAGTATTCAGGATCGCCAAGACGCAACAGTCAGGTTGATCCGTGGCGTTGGAATCCCGAGGTCAATGTTTGGGTATGCTTCCGGGTCTTCTTCAAATGGTTGTCTTCCAACGAGGCAGTTCCCTCAGTGGAAATGGACCCTTGTAGGGGACTACTAAGAGGGAGCTTGGATGGAGGGTCTATTCCAACATCGTTGATTGACTCTGGGGTTTACGCTGGTCCCTCCTCCTGGTCCTCCTCCTCCTCCTCCTCCTCCTCCTCCTCCTCCTCCTCCCTCCTCCCTCCTCCTCTCCTCCTCCTCCTCCTCCTCCTCCTCCTCCTCCTCGTGCTCCTCCTCCTCCTCCTCCTCCTCCTCCTCCTCCTCCTCCTCCTCCTCCTCCTCCCCCTCCCCCTGGGCCCTCCGCACCCCGCGCGCTCCCGCGCGAGCGCGCGCGCGCGGGGCTCGAGAGGATACCGGGCGTGGCCATCGACGAGGGCACCTTCAAGTACGTGCTGATGCAGGTCGCCGCCAGGAGCGGGGTGGGGCAAGGGTTACTCCAGAATTCTAAATAAAAGGGGTCACAACCTTCCCAGACGAGAAGTTTTAGACCCCCCCAGACCATCCATGAAAGGGCGGCCACTTGCCCAGACCCCCCCGAACCCTCCAAGACAGCTCAAATCAGACCCCCACCAAAATGTGCCCCCCCCCCCACTTTATCATGGAATCCGGGTTATGGTGTTCCGACGTACTGTGGCCTTGATTCGCCCTGATCACCAGAAATCATCTTGAGCACGAAGGAAGTCCCGAGGCTTGATGGTTTTCAAGTGTCGGGTCCTGGGGGGCGATGCTGGTTCGACACTGCTGCGATACTTTTCTGGGTGCCCGAAATTGTTTCTGGGATGTGGTCCTGGAATAAGATGGGAGCAACATAAGGCAAGGGGTGTGGGTGGGACGATGTGGAGGAGTTCGAGAGCAAATCATGGGAGCCTTGTATGCCCCCCTGCGTCCGTCTTTCGAGTGCATTCTCGTCGGTCAGCGTTTGGCAATCAATGAGACAGCCCGCGCTTAGTCAGCGCCGACTTAGCGTGAGCTAGCGTCCGGTTAGCGTCCAGTAAGCGTCGCTGAGCGTCGATTCGCAAGAGCCAGCAACATGTTATGGGAGGCTTCCATGCGGTGCCACCGCGGGGAGGATGCGGAGGAGGATGGAATTATTTTCGTGAGCCGATGTAATGTTTCGGGGGCGTCCCTTGGAGGGGCCGTCGAGGTTTGTCGAACCCTGATGTTGGTGCCAGCTGGGGATCTGAGACGGATGGCCCAGCACTGGTTCTGGCCAGCAGGAAGGGCGGGCAGGTTCGAGGCCCTGGGTTCGGGACGGCTTCCTGTTTTTTTTTTTTTGCCTCTGAGGATCGTTTTCGGGTCCTCGGACAGTGAAAAAGCGGATCCGGGGTGAAAAGCTTCACCAGACGGACCCCGGGCGGGGTCCGGAGAAGGGTTTTTGAGCGTCTTCGTCCCTAAACCCCCGCCTTGACGGATGCTCTCGGGGCCCGTCCAGCGCAGACCGCGGTGGCCTCCAGGATGGAGTCATGTCTGTGGACTGATTCCATTGATGTCTCAGGTGCTCCGAGGTTCCGAATCAGCGTCGGGGGGGCGTCCCCCCCGCCGACGGCCCGACACCGACCCCCGTCGCGGGCCAGGCACCGCGCGCCGAAGGCGCTCCGACTCCCGTCGCGGCGCGACGACGAGGCGAGGCTGACCCCCCTCGGGAGGGGCCGTGGAGGCTCGTGGAGCCCTCCCCCGCGGCGACGCCGAGCTCCGGTGGGGCGGTCCTGTCCCGGCGGGCGGCTCGTGGCGAGCCTGCGCGCCCGCGGCCCGTCCAGGTGCAGCCTGCAGGGCCATCGCCAGGGTGCGGCTTCGGGGGCCCTCGTGCTTGCTTGCGGACCCCCAGCTGTGAAGTCGGGCCTAGGCAAGGCATGGTCTGGGTGCGATCCCTCTTGATCTATTTTCGCTATTGCTGAGTATTAGTTTTGACAATTCTTTCCTTTTTCGTCCAACAGCCGCCCGTAGGAGGGCACGCCCGACCAACTCCTACCTGCACTAGCGACGCCACTACCGTCTCGTCAATACCAGTGCTTCTCTCCTCGGTCCAGATCTCTGATTACCTTGTCGCCGGTGTGCGTGCTCTGCAGACGGCAGAATGCTCGACCTGATCTGCCATCTAGTGGGTGCGAGGCTGCTCGTCGGTCGTCCGATCTTTGCTTTCTTTGTGCCGCTGCGCGTTGACCTGCCTTGGATGGCCAAGCCTACCTGCTTCTAGAAGACCAACGTTTGGGGCCGATGCCAAAGACCGTTCTCACGTCCTCGCCAAAAGCGTCTATGGACTCATTGGGTGCCGTGACGTCCACCGACACTTTCAGGGTGGATGCGTCTGTGGACAGCGTGGCGGTTGCGTTCGGCGCGGTGCAAGGTCGGAGGAAGGGCAGAGCCGTTCTGTTCTAGGGCAGGTCCCACATGGTACTCCGAGACCTGCCCGACGCGATCGCCCTGGCCCACGAGCGCGCCGCTGATCTCCAGCAGGCGTGCGGGTGCGGGGTGCCGAACGCTGCAGACTCTGCCTTCGCGGCTCCGCTTGCGGAGCTCCTCCCGAACGGGGCGCGTCGCGCAGCCGCTCCGCCCCCCGACCGTGGCAGCGCAGCTGCCAGCTGCACGGCTTGCTGGAGGAGGCCCTGGCCCTGTCTGACGCGATCGCCAGTAGGGAATCCTCCCCCTCCAAAATGAAAGACAAACAAGTAGGGAATCCATCAATTGTACACTCGCGCGCTATCGGCATCGTTACATAGGCCCCTTCTCGGCCCTCGGTGCGGGCCGCCTGACCCAGCAGCAGCAGCAGCAGCAGCAGCAGCAGCAGCATACTCCAGCTCTTCCGGCTTATCCCAAATGTCTGCCTCTTTCCCCGGCTCGCTTGTGCCCGCCGTTGACAGTGTCCCACTACTCTGTTGTTTCTCTTGTGTCTGGCTGGTCGAGCAGTGGCCTCATCACGCAGTGTTTGTGCCACGCAAAACGGCCCTGGTCCTGGCCAGCGCAGCCCCTCCGTCAGGCAGCCAGCCGCCGTCTGCGTGCGGCTCTTCCGGGAGCTGTCTCGCCCAGGGGGCGGTGGTAAAGCGCTTTAGCTTTGCTTCGCAGAGCATGGTGCAGATCGGAGGAGGGAGGGAGGAGGAGGAGGAGGAGGAGGAGGAGAAGGAGGCGGAGGAGGCGGAAGAGGCGGAGGATGAGGAGGAGGAGGAGGAGGAGGAGGAGGAGGAGGAGGCCGAGGCGGAGGCGGAGGCGGAGGAGGAGGAGGAAGAGGAGGAGGAGGAGGATGAGACGGAGGAGAAGGAGGATGAGCAGGAGGAGAAGGAGGAGGACCAGAGTAAACTCAAGACTTGTCAACAATATTGCTATTAAACCTCCCTCCAAGTTCTCTCTTCATAGGCCCCTGCAAGGACTCATATTCACTAAAGGAAGTGCCCCGTTTGACGGCAACCGTTTGAAAATCGTGAGCTGTGCCAGAACGCCATTCCTGTTGTGCCCTGACCGTCCGACATCGTGCCAATACCATTTCAGGCGCGCTGACCATGCGAATCCTTGAAACTGTAGTAAACTCTGAAAACGAATGTACGCGGCGCTGAGACGAGCCACAATCGGAAAACGATGCGCCCTCCATCCATGATGTATGTCGAATGTGCGCGGCGCTAAGGCGAGAGCCACATATTGAAAATCACCCGCCTTCCATCACCTTTTAACACGAATGTGCGCGGTGCTTAGGCGATAACCGCATTTTGAGAACGACTCGCCAACTCTTGCACGTTTTAAGGCGAGTGTGCGCGGCGCTTAGGCGAGAGCCACATTTCGGAAACGGACCGCCCTCCATCCGTGAAACGGTTGTAATTTGTAAGCTTCAGGATCACACGTGGTGAGGAAGTCTCAAGCGAAACGCCCTGACCGCTCTCTCGACTTGCCTCTGGGTGCGACAGGGATGAGTTGTTTATCAGGAAGAGGAATTGAGGAGGAGGAGGAGGAGGAGGAGGAGGAAGAGGAGGAGGAGGAGGAGGAGGAGGAGGAGGAGGAGGAGGAGCAGCTCGACGCGGAGATGTGTCGTTATACGGCAGGTTCGCGTCGAACCCTCAGCGGGCGTTTAAGGTACGCCACTGGGGGACCATACTCGCCCTGTATGGAACGATCTGGCGATCGGAAAGCCGATGATCGGTCAAGGTTGAGCGATCCACTCGGTATCAGAAACCAACGCTGTGGTCGTCACGACGCGAACCTGCCGTAGTCGAACAATAGGCATCGGCATAAACACAATTTCTCGGAGGTCCGCGCGGATTTCTTGGATTGGTGCTGGACCCCAGCGCCTTGGGCGCCGCCCCTGATGTGCGAAGAGCGCGAGGGATGGGGGGGAAGCAGCGCCGATCCAAGAACTTCGCGCGGACCTCCCACAGTGTATTTTCACGCGGTCTTTTGTTTCCTTAGACAGACGTGCTCATTTTGTGCTCCTCTTCATTACCCCCTGATCCTCCTCTCCCTCTTCCTTTTTACCTCTCCTGCCTCTTCCCTCCTCCATTCTCCTTTCTCCCCCCCCTTGCCTCTCCCCTCCTCCTCTCCTCCTCCCAGGACGGGGGAGGAGAAGTACCTCGTACGCGGCACGTCCGGGGCGCCGTATCACAAGGACGTCGCGGCCCCCTACCTGCGCCAGTACAGCGGCTTGGGGCTGGACGTCAAAATACTCGGCGGAGGCCGCATTCGAGGTCGGGAGTCTTCGGCCAGAGAATCATATAATCATGTGCCTTTCTCTTCGCTCTCCTTTCCCCCCTCTTTCCCTGGATCTCTCTTCCTTCTATCGGCGGCGAGCCTGGGGAGGAAGTGGGAAGGGGCGGGCCTTCTCAGAAGGCTCGGGTACCCCCCCTGCCTCGTGAGAAGTTTTCCAAGCCTTCCCCGAAGACACGGACATTTTCTCAGAAGGCGCGAGGGCTTCTGAGAGGTCCCGCCGCCGTCCGAGAGAGCCTCATCCTCACTTCTCCCATCGTTCGCCGCCGATTCCAGATAGCCACCCTTCCCTCTTCCTCTTTCTCTCTGCCTCTCTCCTTTCTAGATAACTCCCTCCTTTCCCTCTTCCTTCTCATCCTCCCGCTTCCGCCTCTGCCGCAGGTCCCCTCACCTTGACTGAGAGCCCATGATTCCTCTCCCTTCGCGGGTTGCACGTCTGGAGCACGTACAGTCCAGTCGTTGTCGGCCTTCTGGGAACTTCTTGGGGCCCCTTGGAGGCCTCCTCGGGGCCTCTTGGGTCCTCGCTTGCGCTGTCTGGTCCCTTCTGAGACTGTCTTGGGGTACTCTTGGGCCGTCTCGGGGACCTGCCTCTTGGGGCATCTCGGCGGCCTCTTTGGGGTGTCTGGGGGCCCTCGTGGGCCGTTTTGGGGCCCTCTTGAGGGCTTCTTGGGTCGTCTTGGGGCCACTTCGGAGGCTGTTTCGGCCGTCCTGGACCTCCGAGAGTCGAAATAGACGGGAACGCTGAAATCTTCAAAAACCCATGGGAGAATCAACGGTTTTTGGATTGTCGAGGTGCTCTTGGGGGTCCTTTGGGGGCCTTGAGGTCTTTGTAGGCCCTCTTGGGGTCATCTTTGGCCGCCTTGGGGCCGTCTTGGGCCGTCTTGGGGCCATCTCGAGCCGTCTTGAGGCCTTGTTGGTCCCCCAAGAGGGCCAGGGCCAACAGGCTAAACTCATGGATTTTCTATAGTTTTTGGTAGGTTTTAGGGCCTCGGGAAGGGGGGCTGTGCATGATCTGCCGCCACGTGGGTTCCGCACGCCGTGCACGCCGTCCTAACGTCTCGGTGTCGGTCGGGGGGCCTGTTGCACGCATCGTGGAAGTCATCTGGGGCATCTGGGGCTTCTGCAGGGCCCCTTTGAGCTGCTCGGAGTCTGTCCAATTCAGTCCTTTGGAGACCTCTTCGGCCCCTCTTGGAGAACTCCCTGGGGCTTCTTGGGGGCCTGTTAGACGTGTCCAGTCCAATCCATTGGAGACCTCTGGGGCCGCTCTTGGAGGGCTCCTGGGGGCTTCTTGGGGGCCTGTTGGATGCTTCCTGGGGGGCCTCAGGGGGATTCCTGGAGGTCTCTTGGGGGAGTGTTGGGCCGTCTTCGGGCAATACTGCGCCGTCGAGCCCGTTCGGAGGCCGTCTTGGGGGCTTATCGGGGCCGCCTGGGGGCTCTCTATGGGTCCTTTTGGGCCGTCTTGGGGGCCTCTTGGGACGCCTTGGGGGCCTCTTTGGGTCGTCCTGGGGTCTTCTTGGGCCGTCTTGGGGGTCCTCTCGGGGGCTTTGTGGATTGTTGTGGGGCAATGTTGGAGGCTGCTTAGGCCGTCATGGGCCTCTGAGAGTCGACGAAGGCGCGAAAATAATTCAAAAATTGCAGGAAAATCAAAGATTTGGGCTTCTGGAGGCGCTCTTGGGGGTCCTCTTGGAGCCGTCTTGGGCCTTCTTGGGGCCTTGTTGGGCCCCCTTGGGGCCATCTTGGGCCGTCTTGGGGCCGTCTTGGCCCGCACAGAGGCCATCTCGAGATTACCTTGACTGGAAGTCTATGATTCCTCTCGCTTCGCGGGGTGCACGTCTGGAGCACGCAGAGTCCAGTCGTTGTGGGGCCTTTTGGGGGCCTCGTGGGGGCGTCTGCCCCTCCTTGGTCGCTCTTGTGTCGTCTGGCAGTTTTGGAGTCCGGGCCGGTGTTCATTTTGGAGCCGCCTTTTGGGTTCTCTTGGGGTCCTGTTGGCCCCTCTTGGGGGGCTCTTAGGCCGCCTTTTGGGGTTCTCTTAGGGTCCTCTTCTGCCTGTGAACCTCATATTGCTGCCTACCTCCTCCCGCCTCGTTCGCTTCCTCCTGCCTGCCCCTTTTCGGCCTACTTCATCCTCGTGCCCCCTTCCCCCTATCATACTCTCTGTTGTCCTTCTTCTCCTCTATTTCCCCCCCTGTAACCCCCTAACTCCTGCTTCATGTTCCTCTTGCCCCCTCCTCCTCCTATCTTTGCTATTTGCTTCTTCCTCCTCCTCCTAATTGTTTCCTGTTCGCTCCGATTCATCATCCTCCAGCCTGCTCGTGTTGCCTTTTCCTTCTCTGGCAGCCGTTTGCTGCGTGCTTCTCCTCCTCCTCCTCCTTGCGTTCCCGTTTCCTAGTCGCGTTTTCTTTGTTTATTCCTCCTCCTCCTTCGGTTCCTTCTCCCCCTCCTCCTCCTGCTCCTGTTCCTCCTCCTGCTCGTCCTCGTCCTCCGCCTTCTTTTCCTCCACCTCTTCCTCCTCCTTTACCTCCCTTTCTTTTTCCTACTCCTCCTCTTCCTCATTCGGCCCCTACCCAGCTGCCTCCTCGTGCTTCTCGTCCTACTCTTCTGGAGGCCTGCTGTTCCATCCTGTAGCTGTGTGGTTCCTGCTTGAGCCCTCGCCTTGGTTTCCCCCCAACTCTCGATTTCGTTTCCTCCGTGGTTTCTTGTTTGATCCGTCAGTTTCCCCCTTCATCCTGTCCTTCTCCTGAGTTTCGACGCCCCCCTGCACCCTCATTTTCGTGGTCTGTCGATTCTCGATTCTCTCTTCTTCGTCATTGTGTATATCCATTGTTTGTAGCATCTCTCATCATCTTTGGCCGTCGATCCACTTTGATGTTCGTGGGTTCGGAGGTTCATTCGAAGGCTCCATGTCGATTGTGATCCTGCATCCTCATGACATCGGTCATGGTCGTCGTAATGATGTCTACCTTGATCACGGCGGTGTTGGTCACAATGATATCGGACGAGGGCGATTCTGACGGTGGCGGTGGTGGTAACGAAGTTGGTTGTGATTGACATGATCATGACGAATATGCTTCTGTTGATCATGACAATGCTGGTGAAGGCGAACGGCCTGTTGATGATGGTGGTGATGGCGATCATGATGACGATGGCGATGCTGATGTTGATGGCGATGGCTATGACGACGATGACGATCGTGCTGATTGCGATGGCGGTGATGATGACGATGATGATGATGATGCTGATGATGAAAATGATGAGGTGGGCGCCGCGCCGAAATCGGCATGCCCCGAGCCTATAGCAGCTGTGGGTCGGGGTGTCTGCGCGAAGTGCCGCGAGGCTGGGCCCGATCGGCGCCGCGGACGCGGCTGAACTCGCCCAAGTACCGACGGACAACTAATGTTTTTGGTTTCTGGAGGCGCTCCGTTGGGCGCCCTTGGGGCCCTCTTGCTCAATCTTGGGGGCCTGATGCGCCCTTGTGGGACCGTCTTAGGCCGTCTTGGGGCCGTCCTGTCCCGCGTTCGTTTACGGCCCAGAAGTGGCCCTCCACGTTTGGGTTGACGGAAGTGGCGCAGCGCTGGGGGGGCGGGGGGGGGGGGTAGGGGGTGAGGCGTAATAATGTTGCGCAGTGCAATATGTGGCAACTGTGCAATCATTGTACGCGTTGGATGCGTTGCGTTACAGCATCCGCGGAGAACGCTGCCGCTCGGCGCGTCACTTCCGGGCGTGGATTCCTCTCGCTTCGCGGGGTGCACGTCCGGAGCACGTGCAGTGGCGTCGTCGCGGGGCCTCTTGGGGGCCTCCTGGGGGCCTCCTGGAGGCCTCTTGGGAGCTTCTTTGGGCCTCTTGGGGACTTCTTTGGGGCCCTTTTTGCGCGTCTTGGGCTGTTTTGGGGCGCTCTGTGCCTCTGCTACCCCTCCCTCCCGCCTCCCGCCATCCCTCCTTTTCCTTCTCCCCTCCCCCTCCTCCCTTCCAGCGCTGGCTCTGATCACGGACGCCGCCGTTACCAACTTCCATCTCGTTGGCGCTGCGCCGCGGTTCGCCCAGGGCGGGATATTATTGTTTAGTGACCCACCGAAGGTGTTTCAGAGCACGCTCAGTCCAGTCGTTGTGGGGCCTCCTGGGAGTCTCTTGGGAGTTTTTGGGAAACTCCTTAAGGGTTTTTTTGGAACCTCCGGGGAACCTCTTTGGAGCCTCTTGGGGCTTCTTGGGGACGTCTTGGGCCGTCTTTGGGCGCTCTTACGCCGTCTGGCCACTTCGGAGGCCACTTTGGAAGCCTCTCGCGGCCGCCTTGGGGCTCTCTTGGGGTCCTCTAGGGCCTTCTTGGGGCTTCTTGGGCCGTCTTGGAGGTTTTTTTGGCTGTTTCGGGGCCCTCTTGGGCCGTCTTGGGGCCCCCTTGGAGGCCTCTTGGGCCGTTTGGGGGCCTGCTTGGAGGCTGCTTGGGCCGTCATGGCCTTCTGAGAGCCGAAAGAAGGCGAGAACGTTGAAGTTGTCCCAAAACTATGGGACAATCAAAGATTTTGGCCTCCGGAGGCGCTCTCGGGAGTCTTCTTGGGGGCCTCTTGGACATTCTTGGGGGCCTCATGGGCCCTCTTGGGGCCATCTTGGGCCGTCTTGAGGCCGTCTTGGGCTGTCTTGGGGCCAGCTTGGGCCGTCTTGAAACTTTCTTGGGGCCCCAAGAGACCCCAGAGGCCGAATTTGTTGATGTTTATAGGTTTTTGTTGGTTTTTGGGCCCCAGAAGGGGCCCTCTACCTTAGGGTCGACGGAAGTGGCGCGAATCCGGGGGGGTTAGGGGGGAAACATAATAACGTAACACAATGCAATCTGTAGCAATTTCACAATCATTGGATACATTGGATACGTTGCATTAGGGCTTCCGCTCCGCTGCGCGACCTGCCTCCGACAACACGTCACTTCCGGACGTGGATTCTATGAGGTTGTGCCACATCCGCCGACCCCCATATAAACTGTTGCGCCTCCAGTACTGCATTTCACGAGGTTTGTCCGAATCACGACATGTCGCTCGACATCGTTCCTGTTGTTTCGTTGCTGTTATCGTACCTTTCGGTGCTCTTCTGTGGCCATCTGGTGGTATCTCGGGTGGTTTGCAGGCCATATCCGTCCGCTTCGAGGCATCTTGGGCCAGGTATTGGGGTCTCTTGGGGGCTTCCTGGGGGTTTGTTGGAGGCCGTTGAGGTTCTCTTGGGGGACCTCCAGGGCCTCGTGGGGTGTTCTTGGGGCAGGCTGGGGGCGTCTTGGGGCCGAAGGCTCGAAAGGTGCCCTCTGGATTCCCTCTTGGAGCCGTCTGGGGGCCCTCGTGGGTTGTTTTGGGGGCTTCGTGGGCTGTTTTTTGGACTCTCTTCGGCGCCTCCCGGGGGCCCCGTCGGCCGCCCAGGGGCGATATTTAAGGTTCTTTTGTCCGTCTTGGACGTTGTGAAAGCCGAAAATGCTAGTGTGCGAAACATGCTGTTTTGTCTCGAAGGAATGGGGCGATTTTTGTTTCTTGGGGCCCTCTTTGGACGCATCTTGTTTATGATTATTCCTACGGTCGGACCCACGCATAAGATCGAGACCGTTTCGGGGAGGATGCCCTCATGTTCTTCGTTTTCGGTGGATGTTCTGGTGCATCCTCGGGGAGGGTACTCTCGAATGCTTTTCAGTTTGGCCAGGGGGGGCTCTGATGTTTCGGAAAAGGTGTTCTTCAGTCCTATGTCCGGCTGTACTCCTCCTTCTTCGGCCAGCTTCCCATCTTGCTCCCTCTCTTTCGTCTCTGAACCTCCTCCTCCTCCCCCTCCTCCTCCTCCTCCTCTTCCTCCTCCTCCCCATCTGCCCTTTGCTTACTTCTCGCCCTGCCCGAATCTGTCTCTCTCTGCCCTCCGCTTTGTTCTCCTCGTCCTTCCCCTCCTCTCAAAACACAAACATCGCGGTGATCCTCAAAAGGGTATATATGCCACCCCCGCGTGCCGTCGAAACGCATTCGGTTGACTGTTTAGGGTAGCGCGATCGGTCAATTTTCCGTTTTCGCTAGGGTTGGTAGGATTATACCGAATTTGTCGCCCGCCCGAAACCTCAGCATTCCCTCCTGGTGCCGCCGACCTTGAAGGGGGACGACGGCGATGACGACGTCAGATCTCGTGGTATACGCTCAGCTCCTTGGGGCCGTAGGTGGGGTGGTGTCGTTTGTTTTCTGGTCCACGTTCGTCCTCCCCTTGCCCCCCTGCCTCAGAAGGGTGTTGGCGGCGCGTCCTGGGGGGGAGGTGACGAGGAACGGGCCTGCTGAAAAGGTTCGGAAGGCTCGCCCCTTGCCTCAAAAGAAGAATGTCGGAGGCGCGCCCGGGGGAGGGTGAAAAGGAACGGGCCTTCCGAAAAGGCATGGGGGACTTCTAGCCTCGCGAAAAGTTCCCCCGCCCTTCTCCGAAGACACAGGGCAGTTCTCACCTCCCCTCGCTCGCCACCGAGTGGAGGGCCGTGGCGAGAACGAGCTCAAGACATGGTTGCCAGCAACCCTCCTTCCTCCCGTGCCTCCCCTCCCCCCCGTTTCGGCCCTTTCCCCTGGCGCCTCCCTTTCCCGCCCCTTCCCCTTCCTTTCCCGCCGCCCCCCCCCTCTATCTCGGGCACCTGTCTCCACGCCTCGCCCCCCCTCCCTTTGCCGCCCCCCCATCCTCCCCTTCGCCTCCCTTCGCCTCCCTTCGCCTCCCTCGCCTCCCTCCCCTCGCCTCCCCTCGCCTCCGCCCTCCTCCCTCGCCCCCCCTCCCGCTGCCGCTGGACCCGGGCCTGTGGCTCCCGACCCCGACCGTCCAGCACAGCAGCACGGAGAGGAAAATCCTGATTTTTAGGCTTACGCCACACCGCCGACCCCTTTTTTTTTGGGGGGGGCCGTGGACCTCCAGAAGGAGCCCGGGAAGGGCCGGGCCGGACAACCCCCACACCCCCTCCAAATCGACCGGGCCGGGCTCCGGGAGGAGAAGGAGGAGGAGGAGGAGGAGGAGGAGGAGAAGGAGGAGGGGTTTTGGGAGGGGGAAGCATCTCACATGCCGATGATCCCCAGGGGGTCGGCGGATATACGGGTTCTCCTACGGCTTTCCCTGGGCGGACGGCGCCGGGCACGCGATCTCCGCAGACGTGTGCCGGAAGGCTCCACGACGTCGACGACGACGACGACGACGACGACGACGACGACGACGACGGTCACGCGATCCCCGCAGACGCGTGCTGGAAGGCTCGACGACGGCGATGATGTGACAATGGTGACGACAGCGGGCACGCAGTCTCCGCAGGCGTGTGCCACAAGGCTCGGCCTTTCGGGGACGCAGGCCCAAGGCCACGACGGGGGAGAGGAGGATGAGGATGGAGAGGGAGGAGGGATGTTGTTGATGATGTTTTCAATTTATCCCGCAGGGCGGGAGTCCTGGCGGGCCCTCGGGAATATTCGCACGCAGATTTCACGACCAGTTGGTGTCTAGGGTATGGCTTCGACGAGGGTCGGTGCCACTGGTTGCAATTGTCCTTCGGGCTGTCTTGGCGTGTCTTGGGGTGAGAGATTTGCCAGCATGGAGGCTCCTCGCAGACTTGAGCTGCGAATCCCTCGTGTCTGGACGTGTCTCAAAGGCCTCGGGGCGCATGAACTGCGCGCGACGGGTGTGCCAAATGAATGCTCTCGTAGCCATAGGAGCCAGCATAATGTGCGGGCGGAATGTGCGAGGCCGCTCCTAGCATGCGTTAATGCACGCACTCTCACGATACTGAGTTTCATCTTCAGTTCATCGTCTACATTCGGCGCTTAATACGGCGAGGCCCAGCAATCGTGCATTCCCCCAGCCCAGGCCGTAGCATCGATGGCATTTGCCCATGGGTTCGTGGCAATTGTGGTACTGTTGGGCGGTGGTTGTTTCCTCAAGGCGCTGTCTTGGAGGAGAAGCAATTGCGGTTGAGAGGCTGTGATGATGATTGTGGTGGTGATGATGCCGACGATGGTGACGGTGGTGGTGGTAGCGTTGATGCTGATGCTGATGCTGATCCTGCTGCTGGATGACGATTCTGATGCTGCTGATGATGATGGCGATCATGATGATAAGCATAATGATGATGATGATGATGATGATGATGATGATGATGATGATGATGATGATGATGCTGATTATGATGGTGATGATGATGATGATGATGATGAGTATGATGATGTTGCTGAACATGATGATGACGATGATGATGATGATGATGATGATGGCAATGACGATTATGATTCTGATGCTGCTGATGATGATACTGATGATGAGTGTGGTGGTGATGATGAAAAATAATCATAATACGACGACGGCATGCTGATGATGCTCATGCTGCTGATGGTGATTATGATGCTGATGATGAAGATCATGATGATTGCTGGTGACAGTGATGGTGATGGTGTTGCTGATAATCATGATGGTGCTGACTGATGATGCTGATGCTGGTGATGCCGATGTGATGATGATGATGATGATGATGATGATGATGATGATGATGATGATGATGATGCAAATGATGATGATGATGATGATGATGATGATGATGATGATGATGATGATGACGCTGATGATGATGATGATGATGATGATGATGATGATGATGATGATTCTGTTTATGACGATTATGTTGCTGATGATGGTTTCTCATGATGATGAATATCATAATGCGATGACGGTGATGCTGATGATTATCATGATGATGGTGCTGCTGCTGCTGCTGCTGATGATGATGATGATGATGATGATGATGCAGATACTGATGATGATGCTGATGATGATGAGGATGGGGATGATGGTGATGGTGATGATGATAATGATGAGGATGATTATGAGGATGATGCTGATGATGCTGATGATGCTGATGATGATGCAGATGCAGATGCGGCTGCTGCTGATGATCTGATATTGATGCTGCTGCTGATGATGCCGATGATGATGGTCATGATGATGATGATGAGGATGATGATGCTAATGATGCTGCTGATGCTGCTGATGATGATGATGCTGATGATGATGATGATGATGATGATGATGATGATGATACTGATACTGATAAAGATGAAGAGGATGATGGTGGTGCTGGTTGGTGGCGATAATAAGCCGAGGATGACGAGGATGTGAATGAGCATGATGATATACGGTATGTTCCATGTGTTGGGGGTTTCAATGTCGTCCTGTTCGCCGCCGCAGGATGTGCCGTGATTTTCTTGTCATAAACATCCTTGAAGGGATGTCGGGGCGGGGGGGGCGCTATTGGAGAGCGGGAGGGAGATTTGGAGAACAACTAGGAGAAGGCTATTTTTTTCGGTTTTTTGCGGGGCCTCCTGGGAGGCCGTCGTCGCCACGGATGCGTTCGCTTCGGGATCCTGGTCCAAACGCTTTCCACGACAAGTCCAAGGTTCAGAATTCTGTTGTGGATACGGAGGAGGCGGGAACTTCAGATATCCTTTGTAACCTGTCGAGATGACGGCCTGTGGCCCTCCAGATTTCGACGCATCAGTGTTGAGGGATTATTGTGAATGTCTGGGTCCCTTTTCTCTCGAGGCCCACCGGTTTCTCTGGCTCTTTCCCCTTCCCCCTTCTCTTTTCCCCCCGCCACTCCCTCCATCGTCCTCCATCCCCAGTTCTCCTCCACCACCCCGCGTGGTGGTTCGGAGGAATTGCTGATGCTGATGATGTTGATGATGATGGTGATGAATTTGGTGATTCTGTTGCTGATGCTGATGATGATGCTGATGTTGGTGATGCATGATGACGATGGCGCTCATGCTAATGCTGCTGCTGCTGATGATTATGATGATGATGTTAATGGTGACAATTGATGGTGATGGTGATGATGATGGTGATG